TCTCTTTATTTTTGAGATTATATGCAAGGGGAGTGACGTTGAAAAGATGCAGCACTAAATTCTACTTCATTATTGGCTCCTGAAAGAACCAGGTAGCTCACCAAAACGGCTATAAATAAAATATCTTATACATCATAAACACACGTATTGCCAGCCAGTGTGCATGCGTGTGTGTGTGTGTGTGTGTGTGTGTGTAACAAAAAATTGTTTTGGAGCTCTACATATATGTGTTTCATGTACAGATCTCAGTGTTGAAAGGCATCATTCTTCCTGCCAGAACTTTCTGAGAATAGACTCCAGACAAAGCATGCAGACTTGAAATCTTTTAGAACGTAGAAACCCAGGTGCAGTGAAGGGGGGATAGAAAGGACTGGTGACTGAGCGTTGGAGAGACCTGTCCTGGGTGGGCATGTTGACCTCTGCCAAATAAGCCAGAATCATCCTTCTAAGAGGAGGACCAAGAACTACACCTTCTCTAAAAACACTGAGGACATTTCTGCTCCCAAAGACAAAGGCGTGTGGAGAAAATCTTCAGACGCCTGGGGCCACCAGTTTGGACACCAGAGGCTAGAGGTTCCAGCCACCATAAAGGTGAGTATGCAGGAGGTGAATGCTACACTGGACCCACTCTCTCCATAGGTAACCATAGACTCCTGTCAGCTGAGAGCTGAAAGTTTGTTCCCAAACCCTTTCCAGGCATCTCTATTTACAAAACAAGTCCTTGATAGTGGGGCCATCAGGCTGATCTGCAGAATAGAAAATTCCATCAGATAGGCTGGATGTGACTTCAAGCCAATATGGTGTGGTTCTCTCCCCAAATCCCATACAAGGACCATCCTGACCCTAGAGTTGCACACACATAAAGGAAATTGAATGATTACTGGAGGACCATGAAGCTTTCAGCATCAGAGTTTTCAGGGTTCTCTTTTGTTTCATTCCACCAAACCAATAGTTAAAAATACTAGATGAGAGGTAATGATACTACCTTTATTAACATATTTAAGCTCTATATTCCCTTGTAATAAAGGTAGGGATCAGGGACAGAGAGAGGAAAAAGAGAAAAGGGAAGAAACACAAATTAAATTTCCTCTTTTGGGGAGCCTGGGTGGTTCAGTCTATTGAGCGTTGGATTCTTGATTTCTTTTTAGGTCATGATCAAGCCCCGTGTTGGGCTCTGCGCTGTCAGTGTGGAGCCTGCTTGGGATTCTTTCTCTCCCACTCTCTCTCCCTCTGGGTCCCTCAAAATAAATAAATAAAGTTTAAATAAATAAATACATAAAATACTTCTTTTATATTAGATTTTACCAAGTGAGCTAAAGAAACCTCCTGAAGCCTTCAAAGGCAGCACATTGTTAGGTGTAAAGTATACAGAAATTTTAAAATATTTTCCGACGGACCTTCCCCAATTGTGAAACAAATATTCTTTCTGTGCATTTTGTCTGCTGTTGTGACCCTGGCAAAGGGTCCAGATGAATGTTGCTTCCAGAAGGAACACAGTATAAGGGAAGCTCGTTTCTGACCAACATAAAGTGGCGAGGGGAAAAGGAGCAAAGATGCAGGTACCGATGTCCCCGTTTCCTGCCCTCTCCACACACACACACAGTCTTTCAGGGTGAAATCTGGGTGATGAGGGAAAGCAAGGACTCCGGGACCTAGGATCAGAGGAGGTAGGCTGTCCCTGGGTGATTCCTCCTGTGTAACAGGAGAGTATAAGACTTTGCAACCAGAGGCAATGGTGGGAGCAGTTCAGCTATAGGCATCTCCAAAAACCAGGTGAAACATGTCAGCAGACACAGATTGGTGCAGAGCCAGCCACTCCACAGCAGAGACCAACAAGGTAATCTAGGGGACATCTTACCCATCCTGGCCTACTTCCCCATACCTGGGCACTATCTGTGTGGGCTGATGTGGAAGAAGAGATAAGAAATCTTAAAAACCTGCTTAAACCAGAGTATATTGCAATGCCATTTAGTGACAGGTTTGAGTTTTCAACCACCCTGCCACCATTCCACGTAGGATTGGAGATGAGCATGGTCCTAAGGAAGATGAGATGGGCCGTAGCAAATAGAACTATGTTGTCTTTGCCCACCAGGTATGGAGGCATGTAGGAAACAAGGCTTCTTCTCACCCTCCACCTACTCCACTTACTTCAGATCTAAGACAAAGTTTACTCACCTTCCACCCAACACACTTGTACCAAACACCAGCTACATACACAGTGCCCTGTGGTCGAACACAGGCTGCCCTCCAGAAGCTTCCAGTACTGTTAAGGAAACAGACACCATCACAGTTATGGCACCAAGTGAAGGAGGTCATTGATGTCAGAAACCACAAAAGCACAAACTCTCCTGGATGAGAGATTGGAGTCAGTGATAAGAGCTGATGTTAGAGCCCGGCATCCAAGAACAGTTCATATTTCACAATTAGGGATGGAAAGAAAGGACATTCTGGGCAAGGGGAATAATCACCAGGGCCCAGAGGCTGGGCCAGTAAACTTACGGCTGTCCACAGTTTATTCTCATCTGGGTTTCCCATGTTAAGTACAGTATCTGTATTATTTTCCCATTGCTGCTGTAACAAATTGCCACAAATTTAGGGGCTTCAAATAACACAGGCTTGTTGTTTTAACTTTCCAGAGGCCAGAAGTCCAAAATGAGTCTTAGACTAAAATTAAGGTGTCAGTGGGGCTGGTTCTATCTAGATGCTCAAGGGGAGATTCTGATTTTTGTCTCTTCCGGCTTCTAGAAGCTGTCAGCATCCCTCCACAGTACTCTAAACTCTGCTTCTGTGGTCCCATCTCCTTCTGCTTTTGACCTTCATGCCTCCCTCTTATAAGAACCCTTGTAATTACATTGGACCCACAGGATAATCTCTTCACCTCAAGATCTTTAATACGATCACATATGTAACGTTTATTTCACCATGTAAGGTAATGTATTCACAAGTTCTGGGGACAAGGAGGCAGGCATCTTTGGAAGGCCATCATTCTGCCTGCTATGATATCATGTATGTTTCCTCCCTTCTTCTAATGGAGTATGATAACTGACATAGGACTTTTTTAGTAAAATGCAAAAGAGGAATTTGAATATATTTTTTAAATGTAAACATGCTAATACCAGTTATGATATCCATTAAGGTGATACAGACTTTATTTAAAACTAATGATCGTCCTCAAAGAATAAATATAATCAGAATTCTCAATATTTGATATGAAATTATACTTCTCAAACTGGGGCTACCAGGATCCCAGGAGGTACACCTGATGACCAGAGGTGATAAGTTGCAAGATAAACATTCCGAGAGTGCTAATTTACTAATTATAAGCCAGTTAAAATATTTTATAATTAAAGACAAAATGTGAGTATAATTCAGAGGAGAATGTAGAATTTGAAAACATTTAATAAAAAATGAGACTTTAAAGAAGCAATAGTATGTTTCAAAGTGTGCCTGAGTACTGCAGATATACTTCTCTGCTTTAAGGACTATTTTGATGGAACATTTGAAAAGCACTTGTATAAATTAGGATAACTTGTGGCACATTACAAATATGACAAAAACTTTCTCAAAAAAATCAAGAGAACAGTATCTCCTGGTTAAATTTAATTTTAGCTGAGAGTGAAATAAATGTTTTCATTGCAGTATTTGGAGAGATCATCTGTTATGTACCAAGCACATAATAATTCACCTATATATAGAATTCAGTTGTTGATAAGTTTCTGATTCAGTATATAACTGAAAACCAATATGTAAAAATATGCACATTAAACTCTTCATTTTATATGTAGAAGAAGTCCACTCAGCAATTGACCTGGGGTAGGTTTACTTTTAATTTACAAACACAATTCTAGTTAAGATTAGCTCTAGGGGTTCTCTACCCAAATCAATAAACAGTGAGAGGAGAAGCCTCATTCCAGAAAACTAAGAAAAACTGATGGCACAGTTAACAGAGTAACACAGACAAAATTTAAAAAGTATTTTTGAGCACCTCCTATACACCAGACATTACCTCATATAATAATCACAATCCTGAGTATTACCCTCTTTTGATAGCCAGGATCAGAGAGATGAGAAGTGCGGGGCCTTGAAACAAATCAGACTCCAAAGCTTGTGATCTTTCTGCTACATAAAACTCAGCGTGTTTCTTTAGTAAAGCAGGTGAGGGGTGTAAATGAGTTTAGAGACTTTTCTAACTCAAGTAACATAGGAGTTTTATTCCATGCAGTGTAGAACTTGAGGTTCGTGTTAACTTTGGCTTTCCAGAATAACTCATCAGCCAAAAATCCATTGCATAGTCCAGGCACACAAGCTAAATCCAGAACTGCCATAGGAGTGGAAGATTTTGATTTCATATATTTACTTTTCTTCTTATCTGTAAGGGTATAATTTACCTTTCTAAGATTGAAATTACTCTTTTACTTGTGGGTACCACTTGAATTCCGTTTTTTAAAAGATAAAATGGACTTTTGTTTTATTCCCAAGGAGTATATATTGACTCAGCATGTACACCTTTCTCCGCCTGGCTGCTTTTAGTGTAACCAGTTCTTCTCTCCCTTGCAGGATTCATTCTCATATGAGAATGAGATTCATTCATTCTTCATCACTCATGAAGATTACATGAGTGTTCAGAAAGCACTTAAAACAGCACTTGGCAAATAGTAAAAGACCTTCCAGGTTTTTTCTTTTATGAAAACTCCTACAGTTATGAGTAGCTTATTATTAATGAATTAATATAAGTTATAAAAGTACACATTTGCTCTGCACACCTGGGTGGCTCAGTTAAGTGTCCAGCTCTTGGTTTTGGCTTAGGTCATGATCTCACGGTTTGTGGGTTCGAGCCCTACATTGGGCTCTGGGTTGACAGCACAGATTCTTTTGCCCCTCCCCTTGCTCATGTGCTCTCTCTCTCTCTCTCTCTCAAAACAAATAAACCTTTAAAAAAGTACACATTTGCTTTTCCATTATTACATATTGCCCAGCAGGAAATAAAATAGCCCAAATTAAAGTCCAAATTTTATTAGAGAATATATCTAAAATACAATATTTATTAAGTTATGATATATTATTTGAATGGAAATATACTCTGTATCACAACTATAATTATACCAATTTTACAGATAATACTTCATTTATATCTCTGTAATTCAAAAGTCACTAAATTACAACATAATTCATATTTAACATTGCTACAAATATATAAGAATTTAAAATTTGCTCATTAATATAACATCTTGGAATCATGAATATTTATTTTACCTGATTCACATTACACAGAATCATGACTATTTTACCTGATGTACATTACGTAGCTCAATTTATCTCATGATAGGGATTTGCACTCATTCTATTTTCCTATGCTTTAAAACTAGCATTTTTGTGAACAATTGTCAATGCTCATCACCCTCTGTTCTATGAACAAAGTCAAGGTATTTTTTCCCCTATTCCTTGAACTATATTCTCCACTACAGAAAGGCTACTACCATAAGCAAAGCACCCGTCACAGCAATTCTGTCAAGGATGACACCTGGTCAGGTTCTTCACATTTTACTAATAAGCACATCAGGTGAGAAATGAAAGGTCTAGAAAACCAGATGCAAAGCAGCCAAGGTCCAATTCAACAAGGTAGATTTGTGCTTAGCTAAAGGGAAACCCAGAGGTCCATTCTTTGGTCCTGGGCTCCGGGACCATCTTATTTGAAGGAAGCATTAATTTTTCTGTTGTTCAGCGGCTGAGCTGGGCGCCAGTTGTCAACCATCAGTTCTTCTGGTTCGCCCTCCTTATTGAAATTAAGCTTACGGAATTTCAGCATCTAAAAGGCAAAATAAAATATTAAAAAACTAAAAGTCCAAGTTTCACAATAGTATTCATTTATGTGCTTGCGTTATACCCTGAAATGCATTTTCCAATATTAAACTTCACTTTGATTCTCAATAAATGTATAATCACATAAACATATGTGTATACTTTTATTTTACTTTAAATGTTGTATTTATTTTTGAGAGAGTGCAAGTGGGGGAGGGGCACAGAAAGGGGGGCAGAGGATCTGAAGCGGGCTCTGTGCAGAGAGCAGCAAGCCTGATGTGGGCTTGAACTCACGAACCATGAGATCACCACCTGAGCCCAAGTTGGATGCTCAAGTGACTGACCCATTCAGGTGCCCCTATATCCCTATGCTTTTAGATAACAAATCAATTTCTAGAAAATGCACACAAGATTGTTGGTGTCATTTGGAAGGAAATTTTCAGTGAGCTTGTTTTTTCCCTCTTTAAATTTTAAAATCAAACATCAAAAGCCTATAAAACACTTCTGAGATGTAAAATACTAACAGAAATTTTAGATCCCAATTAGAGTTCTGTTTTCTGCCCCAGGGAAGGTGACCTAAAGTGACCCAGGATCTGCAAGCCCCAGGGGATAAGTGAGGGCTGGTATCTTTGCTTAAATGTATAGAAACACATAAATGCATTTTCCCAATCTGGGAAATCCTTGACATTGACTGATCTTTATTCCCTTTTAACCTTGTTTTAGCTCCCTGGCCCAACGATGTGAAACAGGCAGCCCTCAACCAGCCTCCTACTTCTTTGAGGTTATTTGTGCAAAGGGGTACTTCCCTTTTCCTAAGCAAGTCTTGATCTAAATGAAGAAGGATTGTTCGGGCAGTAATAAAACAGCCCACAAATCAACAGCCTTTAACCTGATCTCTTTGGTCCGGTAATTATCCCTCAGCTACTGTAACATCAGTTAAATTACCCAGGATCCAAGTCCTTGTGGATCCTACTGAGGAATGTCCATTTTCTACATTTCAGCTGTGTGGGAATAGAGACAGACAGGGGGTACTATTGGTGACTTAGAAGCTGCATTAATAACTTGAATTGCATAAACTATATTGTATGGGAGAAGTAAGAGTCTGTGTTAAAGGTTGTTAAAGCAACCTGGAGTGAGTTTTTGATACTTTTTTCTGCAAAGCATGGCTTTTACTTTTGTCAGAATTCAGAAAGGTATTCTGATACAAAAAGAACTGCAGCAAGCTCTTACGTGAGTGAGTAATCGGCGGGGAGTTACTACTGATATCTGTGTAACCTTGAGTATGAAATCTCATTGTCCTGGGCCTCAGTCTCCTCACAGTTTCCATAAAAGCATTTATTAAGTGACAGATACCCTTCTCATTTAATCCCCAGGATCACCCAACCTCACAGAGTAAACACTGCCTAAAGTTATGGCTAATAACAGCAAATATTTCTCAAAAGCTGTTTATCAGCTACACACTGCTATAGACACTAGTTCCACAGCTAGAAGCATCAAGAGCAGGATTAAGCCCATAAACCCTGGGTCTGTCCAAATCCAAAAGCCAAGCTCCTCTGTCTGGATGAAATGCTCTCCCTCACTTTAGGAAACCGACCTGCTCACTGCTAACGCTGATGGGCTCCTTGAGCAGGATCCAGGTCACACATTCCAGAAGAGGAGGAGTGGTCAAGGAGCCTGGGTAGGTCCAGTAGTCCAAGCTTTCCGGAAGGAGGACACGAGGGTCAAAGTTAGCGAAGTCAGCACTCTTACCCTGGAATTAGGCAAACACACAGGTTATGTGTCATGATCAGAGTGGGAGGAAGGCAGGAAACAAATACTCCCTTCTGGTCGCCAGAAAACTTTTTTTTAATGTGTTTTTTGAGAGAGAGAGACAGAGACAGAGAGAGGGAGAGAATGAGTAAGGGAGGGGCAGAGAGGGAGACACAGAATCTGAAGCAGGCTCCAGGCTCTGAGCTGTCAGCACACAGCCTGATGCGGGGCTGGAACTCATAAACCATGAGATCAAGACCTGAGTTCAAGTTGGACGCTTAACCAGCTGAGCCACCCAGGCGCCCCTCCGCCCCCCTCTTTTAAGAGAGGTCCCATATTCACCAGAAAACGAAATAAAAAGAAATTAACAGATGACATTTGACTTGGAAATACAGACGAGCAGATATGAGCAAGGGAACCTGACGATACTATTTTCACATGTCCATTCTCATCTTGTCCTCCATAATTATCCCTTATAATTTCCTTCAAGTTATTAACTGATCACATCCAGTATTTAAAGTGAAATTGCTGCCACTAAAATAATGCAAATTTGAGGCTGCAGTCACCAAAATAGAGTATCCTTAACGAGGAGGTAATTGCCTTGCTATCATACCTGATGGCTGGATCAGAACTGAATAACTGCTTTCTTTTCTGGACACTACACTTTTAAAGCAACAGATGCAAACAGCAATGAGTTACAAGCAGAGGGACAAAGTTGTTACAAAGAGAGAAAACTGTCCTAAGAGAATAAAGCGAACAAAAGATAACTAGCCTCGGGGTAGGCAAAACCCTATTAGAGAAAATAGGTTCAAAAGAAAGAAAGATCGGGGCTCCTGGGCAGCTCAGTTGAGCAACCCGCTCTTGATTTCAGCTCAGGTCATGATCCCAGGATTGTGGGATGGAGCTCAGTGTTGGGCTCTGAGCTGAGTGTGGAGCCTGCTTAAGATTCTTTCTCAAAAAAAAAAAAAAAAAAAAAAAAAAAAAAAAAAAAAAAAGATGATCAGGTTTTTCATTTTGTGAGGTATAATTAATACATAATATTATATTAGCTTCAGGTGCACAACATAATGATTTGATATTTGCATATATTGCGAAATGATCAACACAATAAGTCTAGTTAACATCCATTACTATGCCTGGTTACTAATTTTTTCTCTTATGATGAGAACTTTGAAGATCTACTCTCTTAGCAACTTTCAAATATGCAATGCAGTAGTAGTAACAACAGTTGCTATGCTGTACATTTTATCTCCAAAACTTATTTATTTTATAACTGGAAGTTTGTACCTTTTGACCCCCTTCAACCACTTCCCCCCAACCTCTGATAACACCCAATCTGTTTTGTGTCTATGCACTCATTGGTTTTTAGTTTGTTTATTTGTTTATTTTTCAGATTCCTCATATAAGTGAGATCATATGATATTTGTCTTTCACTATCTGACTCATTTCACTTAACTTAATGCCCTCAAGGTCCATCCATACTGTCGTAAACAGCAAGATTTCCTTCTTTTTTATGACTGGAAATATTCCACTGTGTACATATAATCTACATTTCTTTATCCATTCATCCATTGTTGGACACTGGGCTATGTCTGTATCTTGGCTATTATAAATAATGCTGCAGTTAATGTGAAGGTACATATCTTTTCCAATTAGTGTTTTTGAATCAGGTTTATTCTCCATCATTCAAAGGGGTCAGATAGGAGTAACAAGTGAGCATTTCAGAAGATAAACATGACTTCAGTGAATATGAGCTTTCTGAAGCCAGGCCTGCCACTGGGGATTGTATTTAGCAGATGTTCAATGACCTAAACATGGCTGTGCTGTAGAATTTAAACTTGGGATGGATTAGTCTTCATGCTTAGCATTGTATCTCCTATGTCAACCAAGTGACTGAAATGGAGCAAGTACTTAACAAATACCTGCTGTGTGAATGAGTCAATAATTTGACCGGATGATCTTTCAGTTTCCTTTCAGTCATGAGATTCTCTGACTCTTATATATGAATGTTCAAATGATGGGGAAACAAAATTAAATAAAGGCAAGATTAAAATTATACTAGAATTAGGATCAACTTTTGGATAAAGAAAAGTTACATGAATATATAAGCAACATTTTACCTTCATTAACCGTTCATCCAAACACCACATGTCAAACTGAGACTATTCGATTTGATCAAAACAATTTCCTAAAACCAGTGGGATATAAAACATAGGTTCTCTATCGAGGTGGCAGAAAATGCAACTGTACCTTTGTTTTAATGGAGTCCAGTGCATCAAGGACTTTTTGTAGGCCCGGGTTGGCATCACCAATCTATAGGAAAACATAATGTACAAGGCACCGTAATCTGGTTGGTATTACATCAGTTTTGATTTGGGCAGCTCTACCATAAAAGGTTTCCAAACGATGAACCAAAGTCTACCACTGGTACATGCCACCCATCCATCTTACTTTGATCACATTGGCACCATGAACTTCCCTACTGTCACTGACAACTTCTTTCTGCTTCGCCCCCCCACCGCCCAGTCCCCTGAATGTACTCTCTCAAATGTCACTAGTGACCTCCAACTGACCTCTAACTGACAAAGCAAGGAACGCTGTTCAACCTTAATCTTGCAGGATTTTATACTATTGACCTCTCTCCTTTTTGAAATTCTCTCCTCCTTTGGCTTTCCCTCTGCCCTCCAGCCTCAGCAATCTCCCTTGACTTCTGTATTCCTTTTTAGTCTTTTAATACCATCTTTCCCACTGCCTTAAACGTCTTACATTCTGCAGTTTCTCAGGACTGCGTGATTAGCAGCTTTATCATCTCCCTCTTGGTGCTTTCCTTGGATGATTTCATATTCACTTGTAGCTTCTACCTTGACATATGATGTCAGGCCCCATGAATCCCCAGCCCAGACTTTTCTCAACTTGCTTTACAGCTGTCTAGAGGGCAGCTCAAACTGTATGCCCCACTGTTGCCTGAAATTCTCCAATATTGAGTCACTGCCCTTGAGCCCTCCAAAACTTGATCTAAATTTAGCTTTACCTGTCAGGAAACACTACTATCTAGTTAAGGGTGAATTTTAAAATAAAAACCAGTAGTCATCTGAAGTATACCTCTTTCTCATTTTACATTCCGCATGTATACATCCTTCACATTTACATCTAAATAGCACCTAATTAATACCTCTTGGATTGTTTGTTTTGTTTTTGTTTTGATTTTTGCCCTCCATCTCTAGAGCTACTAGCAGATATGAAGGGGGACATAAGCCTGAAAATATTTTGGAGCCAAAGGCATTCCTTAGGCTCTTTGTAGAATGTCCTGTTTATTATGAATGTTCTGTCTGGTTAACCTTTCTCAAAAACAGGGAAAAAAAGAATTGGGTCATCAACTAACCTTTAAAAAAATACCCAAAACAGCCAGTCCATCAGGTTGCTGCACAGCTTTTCCAAAATCCCCATATTTGGTGTTCCAATGAACCAAGTGAAGCTAAAGCAGTCGGAGACAAAACCATAATGAATGATATACATCATTAATCCTCCAAATGTTATCCAGAGACAAAACCACAATAAATGATATACATCATAAAACCTGCCGATTGTACCCAGTGATCTTTTCTTTACAACTAAAGGTTACTAAAGAAAGGGAAAATGTGGGTAATTTAAAATATAAGCTTTTCTTTCATTTTCATCCTAATTATCCACTATTTGACATAACAGCAAGTGACTTCGTCAACTCTCAGACAAAGAGTTACATATTTTTGAGGAAAGACACAAATGCTATTTTTAGATTTATGTTAAAACAGGATCCTCCAATTTGAATTCATTTAAGTTTTTGCAAACGATGTCCTTGAGTGTAGCAGAGAATGTTTTGCAGCATTAATTGTAATATCACAAATACAAGTTATAAGAAGCAAATGTGAAGGTCCTTTGTAAAAAGAAAAAAAAGTGGTTCGCTTAGTTTGAGTCGAATTTACAAAACTATGTTTTTGAAATTAATGCTGAAAATCAATTTACATTTTTCCCTGGAAGGCAAAAAAGCATATCTTACCTCTGCAGCATATTTCTTTTTATCCACAGTATGCTCAGATCCTTGCCCATCAGACGAACCCCAGTGAAAGTGAAACTGAATCAATCTGTATGTGCCAGTGAGGGGTCCTCCTTTCAGCACTAAAATGTAAAAAATATGTATATATATGATATATGTATATTATACATGTGCCTATGTGTATATGAGTATGAGTGTATGAATGTATATACATACACACAACATACACAAAATCGCATGTATATACACACGTATATGTACATATGCACATGAAACACACACTACTAAATATTATAATGTAATTCAATCCTGTTGCATAATTCTAAATTTATGCCTGTAGCAACATTTTCACTTTGTGAAAATTAAATCCAGACTCAAGTTTAGTCTACAGGGCTGAACAAAATCATTTCAACTGGCTTTTCTCCTCACTTGTGTTGGCTTGAAGGTGGGTACTTTTCCCATCTGTTTTCTGAGCACAGTGATAACTTCTCTTCTGGGTTTGTTTGGACTCACAGGTTCTGGTTCAGAGAGAGGAAGTCTTAAGTGGAATTATTAAGTCCTCTGTGAATGACTGGGGAGGTGCCCTTGTATCTGCTTGTCGATGCAGGTCTGTGGCACACTCCAGAAAACATGGGAAGCTCTCTTCTCCATAGCCCCATGACTGCCCTACCATCTGCTTTGCTAACCCCAGATGCCAGAATTTGTGAAACAATAAGCATTCCATTGATCTTAGTATAAAACCCAATTTTCCTTACCCTGGCTTCCCAAATTCTTCAGAATTTGGATTTTCACTGCTAGTAACTAGCTTTATCCCATTAAAATGTTTCATCGAACCTTTCTGATCTTAATTTCCTCACCTGTAAAGTGGATCCATTCAATTGTTTATCACTTCACTAAAAATTTATTGATCACCTAACAGAGCACATAGTACTCTGTTGCCTCCAAAAACTTAAAATTCTAACTTTAATAACTGTCTTATGATTCTATTATTCTGGTATTAATATAACTTTGTTAGAGTAAAGCACGAGACAGAAGAATATGACTGGATGTCATCTCCAGTACAGTCTATCTGTAGATACGGAGTTGTGTATTAGAGAGAATTAAAATAGGAGGAAATCAGTTTCCCCCAGCCTCTCCATAAAACCTTGTTAACTTGTATATATTCATGAAACTTACCAATATATTTAAAAGCTTTTAAAATTAGATTAGTTCTCCAACTTCAAATTTTATTTCTCTAGAACTAGGATTAAAACATCTGTTGCTATAAGTGCATTTTATTAGCTTTGGATTATAATTCTATACAACAATGAGCCCAAACTTACTCTGGCTTTGCAAAACAAAGCAACAAAGTCTGTAGAGTCAAGTTTGCTTAATTTCACCTAAGTATGCATAAATGGTAGCAACAGCCATCCATCTATCCAAAGTAAAAAACAGAGCTGGCTGGAAGATATTTAGGCCCTTCTTAGCTCCTGATACAACCTCTGGTCCCCAGCACTGCCTTACAATAGGCCAAGGGGCGGGGGAGGGGGAAGAACCAATTATGTAAACGATGTTACATCACAGATCTGCTAAGAAACATCAATTTGGGTACAGTCTGATAAAATCACATCTCTTGAGGGGCGCCTGGGTGGCGCAGTCGGTTAAGCGTCCGACTTCAGCCAGGTCACGATCTCGCGGTCCGTGAGTTCGAGCCCCGCGTCAGGCTCTGGGCTCATGGCTCAGAGCCTGGAGCCTGTTTCCGATTCTGTGTCTCCCTCTCTCTCTGCCCCTCCCCCGTTCATGCTCTGCCTCTCTCTGTCCCAAAAATAAATAAACGTTGAAAAAAAAAAAATTTTAAAAAAAATCACATCTCTTGAAATTTAACGAATTATTGTTAAAGTTTTTTTTTACTGATAATTCTGTAAGGAAATAATTAGCCTTATCCGCACCCCCCCACAAGGCTTTTTCAAAATAAAAAATTCCATTTTTCATAATAATATATTCTTAAAACTAAATATTTGTTCATGAAATAAACTGGTACTGAAATAATTCCTTTATAATAACTTTTTAAAGCTACCAACTGGCTGATCATAAAAAGCAAATGCCTTCTGTAACATCACTAGTTCTACCGAGTAGCAAAATAAATTAAATAAAACCATATTAAGCTTCAAGATAACTTATCTTCCTAAATGTATCTCTTTCCCCTTGTGAACAATATCAGAATCTTCAATTTTAAAAATAATAAAACTTATTGCTGTTTCATATTCTTATTCACTCCCTTGCAGATCTTAACATTCCATCTTAATTTACTTATTTCAGAGAAGATTTAGAATTAGTCAAGAATGTATATGAGCTTTTATTAAACAAGCTTTGCTAATGCTACAGAAAGAAAGAAATGAAGAAAGAAATGAAGGAAGAAAGAAAGAAAGAAAGAAAGAAAGAAAGAAAGAAAGAAAGAAAAGAACAAAAGAAGGAAAGAAAGAAAGAAAGAAAGAAAGAAAGAAAGAAAGAGAAAGAAAGAAAGAAAAGAAAGAAAGAGAAAAAGATTCTTGGTTCAATGATTAAACATACTCAGTGCTAATCTGTTATTACCAGACACCTGTTTTAGCTCCTGTTAAAATAAAACTATGTTGCCATGTAGATTAGAAGCCCTTGTACCTAGGAGAGGTTATTAAATTCTTAAAATTTAGTTGCAACAAAAAGAAACATTTCTGGTCTACTTCAGGAGTTGGTTATTTCAACAAATCCTTAGCGCAGAATTTAGTTAATGAAGTCGTCCCCAAAACATGGTTACAGTAATAAATTGCCACAAACTCTAATAAAGGCAGCATACATCTTATGTGCAACATAAAAAAGACATTTGGTCGAAAAATAGGGAGCTTGCACTTTTTCCAGATCTACTTATTTATTTACTTATTTTGATTGCTACATACCATTTTCTGAATGATCCAAGTTTAAAACGAAGTCTGTCTGATGCAAAAATAATTTTTAAAAGTAGCAGAAACTGCTGACTGCGTATATTTTTCCTCTTTAAAATCCAGCCATGTTAGTGAGGGCTCTGAAGAGTCCATGATTTATTGTATCACGGAAATGTATTCCACAAGGGACAGAGAGACATAAATTTTCTACCACAATATCTTTTCAAAATTCCCAAAACTTAATTTAAATCCAAATCTCAACACGAAGGGCTCTAGCCAATTTTAATTTTCGTGATCAGCCATCAGTTATACATACTACATATATAAAACACAAAATAAGTACTAAATACATTCTAATCTGTCTTCCTATACATATTACTTAGAGAAATTACGTAAACTATGTTATTTGTGAAAATTAAGGCATCCAGTCCAATAATATACAAGACTATACAAATTAAAAACTGAAAATTTAACATTTTTAATTTTTTTCTTCCTACTCCCTTTATTATTACTTAACATAAAATGTATCCAAATAACAAAGTAAACACCTTAACGAATATCAATAATCTCTCTTAAATTCAAAATACAAATAAACCATTTCTAATAATCTTTAGTTTAAAATGCAAATTTAAGGGATCTCTTACTAATGAAGTACATGACTAAGTCTACTAAAAATGCAGCATTTCCAGGAGATAAACAATCTTCATTAAATTACGCATTACTATTTTGCTTTTGAAGCAGTAGTCAATAATCCTGGAGTTTACAACTAAAATGAAGAAAATGAATGAAGAAAAAGTCTCCACACTTTATTTCTTTTAAAATAGTGAGATATTTAGCTGTCACTTACACTAAAGTAAACAACAACTAAAAATCAAGGGAACAGAAGTTTTTAGTTTCTGGTACATGGAAATTATATGAGAGTAAAAACAATACCTAGGATCTGTGGTTTAACTAAAATGGATGGAGGGAGGTATTAAGGGGAAGGGGGGTGGATTTTTAGGAGCATCAAGTTAAGAATGTATTGATTTCACAGACAAAGAAAGTAGACAAGATGATAGCCCCAAAGAATAGAAAACATGAGCCAGTAAACATGGAACAGCATTTTATTTCTCTTTAAGACCTCTTAAATGCTGTAAAACAAATAGAAAATATTCAAGGCACCTTCCATATCTCTGGTCCTCAGATTTCTATGTGAATCAGGATCATCTGTTAAAATGCAGATGCCCAAGCCAGATGCTGACTTTAATGACCGATATTTTCAGAGGGAACAGTGAGATGATTCTGGTACAGATCAAAGTCTAAGAATAGATGCTCCACAGTTTTTGTCAGGCAACAGGGAAAAGGCTCTGGATTTTAAAAGGGTAAAGCACCACTTCAGTTTTCCCTTCTACTGTATGAACAATGGAAAATGGAAGTTTTATTAGAACATATAATACAGCAATGGGGGGGGGGGGTTGTACCTGGGTGGCTCAGTCAGTTAAGCATCTGACTCTTGATTTCGGCTCAGGTTCAAGTCCTGAGTAGAGCGCTGCACTGACAGCGTGGAGCCTGCTTTGGTTTCTCTCTCTCTCTTTCTCTCTCTGCCCCTCCCCTGTTCATTCTCTCTCTCTCTCTCAAAATAAATCAACTTAAAAAATATATATAGCAATAGGGTATTTTTTGAAAATGTGATGTTAGGTATGTGTGTGTGTTCATTTAATAAATGCTTTTTGAAGACCCCACTAAATATAATCCACTAAGAAATATCTGTTGGCAATAAAAAGATGAACCAAACAACTGGAAAAAAAACCAAAAGGACAGGATTTTTTAGTTTTGTGTATATGGAAATTATAGGAGAGTAAAAAAAAAAAAAAAACAAAGGAAACTCTTTTGACATGAATATAATTAAATACAGTATTTAGGGGTGCCTGGGTGGCTCAGTCGGTTAAGCGTCCGACTTCGGCTCAGGTCACAATCTCGCGGCCCGTGAGTTCCAGCCCCGTGTCGGGCTCTGTGCTGACCGCTCAGAGCCTGGAGCCTGTTTCAGATTCTGTATCTCCCTCTCTCTCTGACCCTCCCCCATTCATGCTCTGACTCTCTCTGTCTCAAAAATAAATAAACGTTAAAAAAAAATACAGTATTTAGAATGTTTTGGTCAGTTTTATAAATACTTAGGTTTCTCTTACACCATTAACAGTATGCACAACGAACCCTTTCACTTGTTGCTGCTCTGATTCCTTTTAATTTAAAATTATTCACAGAAGGACAATATTAAAGCTTCAAAAGCAAGTCCTTGAAAATCAAGCAAGACTCATGTATGGAGTTCTATTGTCATAGAGACAGTGGTCTGCCTGAAATGAGCACAGATAAATTGTTCATTTCCTTCCTTTTTTCTTGAAATAATATAGACAGATAAAAATATATCAATTTCTAAAGAAGAGAAATTATATGACAGTTGTATATGGATTGGCTCAATAATTTCAGGCATTGGTTTTTCAATATTTGCATCTAACATTGCAAGAAAGCAGGAGAGTTTTAAACTCATTAATAAAACTTAATGAGTTAGCAGAAGTTAATAATTTGACTAGTATTCTTTTCTCCCAGATAAAGCTAGTAATAAAAGAATGCAAGCAGGGAGAGTTATTTTTTAATAAGTTTTTTAAAAGACCAACAGGATTAGCAATTTTTCATTAATTTAAGGTGGTTTATTGTTAAAGGAATTTAGAAGATTGATGAGAACTTTTAGTTAAAGCTATTAACTCCACATTTTTATTTTATTAACTCCACACCTAAAAAGAATTCTCTCAGGGCACCTGGGTGGCTCAGTCGGTTGAGCAACTGACTTCGGGTCAGGTCATGATCTCACAGCTCGTGAGTTCGAGCCCCATGTCGGGCTCTGTGCTGACGGCTCAGAGCCTGCTTCGGATTTGGTGTCTCCCTCTCTCTGCCCCTAACCCACTCGCATTCTGTCTCTGTCTCTCTCAAAAATAAATAAACATTAAAAGAATTCTTTCAAGCTTAAACATACTAAACATAAACATAATAAACTCAACCAGCTCAGTTAGTGATACTCTAGTATCAGATAAGATAATATTCAGGATATTTGAAAACTTAAATCTATAAGAAGTTCTAGAAGGCTGAAATCTCACTGAGGTAGAAATAAATAAATAAATAAATAAATAAATAAATAAATAAATAAATCAGTAAAAGGAACTGAAGCATTTAGATGTAGAAAACAAGAGGTAAAAGATATCTAAAAATGTTAATACCATGAAAATAACTCTTAGCAAAAAGAGATGTTAAGTTGTTGATTCAAAATATTGAATGACCAAAAAATAAAATAAAATATTGAGTGACCAAAATGAATGAATTGTTTTTAGACTTCAGTGTATAGAAAAGCATATCAATTTTTTAAAACATGGTACATATACACTAAATATTAATTGTGGTTATCATTCAAAGATTCTTATTCAACTTTTATTTTTAAGTGATGGTCATTTAGTCTCATCCCAACAAATTAGAAGGGACTAGCAAGTTAAACTCCTTAGCATTCTGTTTTCTCATAATTATTTTAAGTGAATTTGACTAGAGTATCTCCATCATTCGTTCTAACTTGAGAGTCTAGGATTCTTTTTTTAAAAAATCTAAAGGGTGCTTCTCTGCATGGTATGATTGTTTGATTTATTCTGTTTTTCCTTAATGCCAACATTTTAATATATTCTACATCCTGGAAAAAAATTTGCTTCCTGGTTTAACCCAAACAACTGACAGTGTTGAAGAGGTATGGGCAAAGTTACAAAGGGATCATTCATACATAAAGGAGAGCAAGCCTTTCTAACATTAACTCTTCCTTGTTTTTATGGCACCTCCTTGCCCGTCAGAGCACATACTGTTCTCTCTCAAATCCCCTGGTCTTTCCTACTTCTCTTTGCCTGGAGTCTCCTCCAAGTTCAAGCCTCAGCATAAGTTTTACTTACCCTGGAAAGTATTTCCTGACTTACACAGAACAACTCCTAAGTCTCTTTCACGTTTCCATAGTTCCTTGGACTATATGTCCTTGTTGCACTTACCAAAATCGCTGTCAGCTGTCACTGCTGTTTCTGTGTCTTTATACTTCAGGTATCCCCAGCGTGAAATCTAGGGATACAGGAAGGAGACTAGACCTCTACCTGCCTTCATGCATTTAACTGGTGTTAGGAATGGGTTTTTGTTGTTGTTTTGTTTTGTTTGTTTGTTTTGTTTTGTTTTCATAAGAACTAAGTGAATAATGCATGTGTCTCTAAAGGCATGGGTTTAAGACCCTATCAAAACCACTGTTCTCACAATCTAAACATGGCTTTAATAATATATGTGTTACTCACCAGGAGAAGTAGTTTTAAACAGCTCTCTAATCAGTTACTGGTTATTTAGAAATCCGTCAGAACTTGTCATTTTCATGCTAAAACATGTAACTATATAATAACGTCACATATAAAATCAGTACATACTTTAATATGATAAATGGAATGTTGAGGAAAATATAAAAATAAAAATTTTAAATCCCATCAGGTGGTGGCAGGTAATCTTCCAGTTCATTAAAAACTTTCTTCAGTAATCTTACCACAGGTGATCGCTACAGCAATTGCCTAATAAAAGCAGTTGAACGGTGTGTTGACATGAAAACAGCAATGGTCACTTGTTGGAGAATCGTAACGTGCCAAGTGCTGGGCTAAGGTGCTTTCTATCTACCGTCCCATTTAATCTTTCCTTTGTGGTAGATACTACTGCTTCTCCAATTTTGCAGTTAAAAAAACTAAAAATTAGAGACATTAAGTTGCTATTGTTCCCAGGGCCACCGAGCTAGTTAGTGGCAGAGCTGGGACTTGAATCCACGGCTACCTGACCCATTTCTATGTTCACAGTTGCTAGACTCAATGTCAAAATCCACTTTCCAGTAATAATATATTACTGAAATAATTATTTCATGATTAAATTTGTAAGGAATTATCTCATCCGGTTCTATTTGCTAGACATTTGTTTCCCCGTCACTCCAAATAAGCACCCAATTTCTATGTGGCATCCAATGAGGTATATGACTGGTGGCCAGTAGGGTCACTGAAAACTGACTTCACTGGCAACATTGAAACATACAGTCACTGTGTCTCTTTTTTTAACAGTTGATAGCTAAAGACTAAAATAGCTCGGGGGCGCCTGTAGGTGGCTCTGTGGGTTGAGCTTCTGACTTCAGCGCAGGTCATGACCTCACAGTTCATGAGTTTGAGCTCGGTGTCGGGCTCTGTGCTGACAGCTCAGAGCCTGGAGCCTGCTTCGGATTCTGCGTCTCCCTCTCTCTCTGCCCCTCCCCTGCTCACACTCTGTCTCTCTCTCAAAAATAAATAAAGATTAAAATAAATTTTTTAAACTAAAATAGCTCAAGTTTTTTTTTTAAATAAATAAACACGGAGTTTTGTAGCATCCTTTGTATATGTACAATAACACCAAGACTATGGCCTAGTCATATTATAATCAAAATATGCAGTATCCTTTACAGGAAGGAAAGAAATTTCCCTTATTTTTAGCTTAATCACTTGAGCATTATTTCTTTGAAGTGGAAGGCTTACTTGGGAAGGTAGAATCATTGAAGTGTCTTCAATGAACATCCTCTGCTAAATCTAATAATCAAAGTCTAATTAGCCATTATATTATGACAGAATATGTGTTTGCATGTGTGTGTGTATGTGTGTGTATGTGTGTGTGTGTGTGTGTGTGTGTACTGGGGGGAGGTGCACAAAAGGAACAGGTAAGTTGAAAACATTTCTCAGATGATCTCCACATTATCCTCCATCAAATTGTCTTCCAGAGTCACTATTTCAGAAATCCAAGCATCAAAGAATAATTTAAAGAAGGTAGGAGCGAATTTTTTTTTTCCAAACTGGACTGAATAATTGGCTAGCTACTGAAAAAAAAATGGTCAATTGGACTATAATGGCTATAATTACACACACTATATTAGTACTCTCGGTCATTACTGCAAAAATTTGACAGCGTTACGGGATGTCTTCTTGGTTTTCCTGTTTTCTCTTTTTGCCCCTGCGCTCTCCCTGCTCTCACACCACCATCGCACATCATGTGTCTGCAGCACCATTCATTCAACGACCTTCAGAGGAAAGCACTCAGGAAAATAGGGCACTGGCAATTAAATCAACCAATGGGCAAAGAAAGCTGCTACCATGTCTGAATGGGATTGTTCTCCTGTTTCTAAATAAGAAAAAAGAAGCATTCAAAGTGCATCCTGTAAACAGCTCTACTACAGATAAATTATGGTCATTGGTTTTGTCAGCAATGGGCCAGGTCCGCCCACCAAGTCTAAAACCTTTTCATTTGTGGAATGAATTTCTGGGTGGATACCAAGATACACTGCCACCTTTATCACATTTGCATTCATAAATACAATGCTTCCAAATTTCAGTATTTTATTTATTTTTTTAATTTTTTTTCATTTCAGTATTTTAAATAGCGAGGCTTTCTCCACTCTTCTCACTGCTACCTTCAAGACAGCACTAAGATGTACTTTTTTATTGAATAGGCATCAATTCTGGAAAAAAATATTTTAGAAAAAATCTCCAAAGTTCAGTTTTTGCAAATCGCATTGTTGCTGATCTTTACTGCCAGGGGACCTTGCCTTTTGTGACTTTTCACAAGCAGATTACAGTTATACAATGCCCTACATAGAAACCAGGAATTTTATAGGGGAGCCACAGCCCCAGGCCACTTCAAAGTAATTAGCCTACTTCTCAGAGCCTGGGACCTAATGAAGATTAGCAGAGTGGCATCTTACAGTATGGAGACAAACAGGAGTATTAAGCCACTGCTCCTGATTCCTCCCATTAAGCTGGGGAAATAGCTACTGGGTAAGAGACACAAGTTATTTTTTAAACACTGACCTGCTTTGTCCTGGGAGTCATCAAATTCCACGTTGAAAGAGTGACCGTTGTTGATGATCCTCCGAGAAACCGCTTGCTCGTAGGAAGGAAACAAAGACTTCAGGCCAGGATCGTGAATGGCTGCTTTGGTGTCGATATCAATAGGGGACTGGCGCTCTCCGTTGGCAATGGGGAAGTCCTTATGCCAGTGCTCCGGTCCTAGCATTGAGAAGAGATGTGTGAATCCCCCAGTGTGGGGAAGGGCACAACCAGATCCCTAGAAAAGGGCAAAGATTCTGGAACCAATCTGCTCCGTTCCAATTTTGGTGGCACCATTCGGCTGAATAACTTATTTTGTGCCTCAGTCTCCTCATCTGTATTATGGGGTAATGACATCTACGTCCTAGAGTTTGTGAGATTTGGAATCAATACATGGAAAGGTCATAGAACAAAGAGTGAGTGCCATATAAATATTAGCTATTTTTATGCTCATTTTATTGAATTCGGCAACTGAAATTGGGCAAACACTATCATCGGGGCTCGTGGTTAGCATTTAGGATATTCAAGCTCATTTAAGACATTCGGGCAGGTCGGGATTCCTCCCTAGTGTCCTCCTACTGAATGTAAAGGCAGGGCCATTGCTCAGGCCTGGCACCTCTCTTTTAATGGTCACGATTCCCCCTACCTGGAAGTCCTATCCCACCTCTAGATGCGAAAGGTGCGCCAGACACATCTTTCTCTTGCATCTGCTGGCTCTGGAGAGCCCAGGTCAGTGGCCATGATAAAACCGAGTTCCTGGTGACCCTCTAACCTTAGGAGAGGAGACATGATGAGAGAACCCAGAAATCACCGCAATGGATTCAAACCGGCCCACGAAAATGCCCCGGGACAGTTCGTGTTGAGCGCCTTAGCCACAGGTGCTAAGAGTGAAGTGTGTGCAGGGAAGGGGGTCCCCTAATTTTTCTGCAATCAACAATTAACATTCCCCTCCCCCTTAAAAAACCTTCCTCGCTACCTCCTAGGGCCGGTTAGGATAGCCTCCGGTTCGGGACCCGGGGGCAACTGAACTCGAGTCCCGAGGCTGAGGCTGTGCTCCCCCTCCCTCGGGCCCTGCGCGCCACCGCCGTACGCGGGGATTCCTCGACAGTGGCCTCGGGGCTGGGGCAACCGGGCATCCCAGCGCCGGGAAGCAGAGGGCGGGGCGGGCACGGGGGGCACACCGTGCCTCGGGTGTTCCCACTGGCCGCGGTAAACAGCAGGTGCGGGCGCTGCGGGGCCGAGGCCAAGATCCGGGCCAAGATCGGGGCCCCAGGCGCCGCCGCCGCGCCGCCCTCCGCCGGCACTCACCGTTGTGCTTGCCGTATCCCCAGTGAGGGGCCATGGTCGCGCCGCTGGTCTGGGCAGGGCAGGAGTTGGCGCGGGTCTAGCAGTGGCTGCTCGGGCGCCTGCACGGTGTGTCCGCGGGTCGCGCCGTCACCGGCTTTTATAGGCTCCCGCCAACTTCGTGTTCGGGGGCGGCCCGGGGGAGGGAGCCCCGGGTGGACCTGGACGAGGGGAGGAGGAGGTGACGGGTGGAGGTGATCTCCCCGTGGTCGGGGCGGACCAGGCGGGCGAGGCACCAGGGGCGGGGAGAACGCCCTCTCGGCGGGCTCTGCTGGCTCAGGACCTCCTCTCTTGCCTCCCGGCTCCCCTCGGCCCGCGGCCCGGGCCCCGGGTCCCTGGGCTGGCAACAAGGCTCCGAGCTCTCCGCGCGCGTGGCGGCGGCGGCGGCGGGGGCTCCCGGGCTCCCGGGTGGGACTACGCGCACCCCACCCCCCTCCTGGGCGCGAAGTCTGGCGACCCCGCGGACTGCTCCGGACACGGGCCCCTGGTGCCTTTCATCCCCAGTCCCCATTGTGATCTTAGCCCTGGCCTCAGAGCGCTCCCGCCCCGCCCCATCGGCTGCACCCGCGCCGGGGACTTCAGCCCCGAGGGCTTACTCCCGGTGTTCCCGGCTCTAGACTAGCAGGCCAGGTTAGGAGCTATGACCTTGGGGCAAATAGGGATACGATCCTTGAGGCGCTGGGAGCCAGGAGCTTCGGGTGCTGAGAGCCACGCGCCCCCTACTGGACGACCGTGGAATAAAGTAAGAAAGATGAGTGAGAGTCTCTTGTGCCCTTAGTCCACACTGAGGAGAGAGCCCAGGAGATTGCATTTCCTTGCAACCGGTCAGGGTATCATATGAAGTGCTCATCTCCTACCTTCCTCCTCCTCTTTAAAAAATTAACTTTGGAGGAGAGACTTCCTAGCTGAGTACACATTAGTTTAAAACATTTTCCCCCAAAACTTCTAAAACAAATCACTTTTCTAAGAGAAATTAGGTAAAACGAAGTATTCCTTGCAAAGAGGCAATTTCCCTGGTTGAAAAAGGAAACTTGGCATCTGGGATACCTAAGAAATAATTAAAAAAAAAAAAAAACTGAGAGGACATTTTTGAGGCAAGGCAGCATTATGACTTGGTGGGCCCCCTTCTTCATAAACATACATACACACATACATAGTTATGGCTGTATTGATATGAAGAGTAATATCTTAACATTATGTATTTCAACATTTTCTTCCACCTAAGTGTTCCTTTTTATTTCTCCTACTTGAAAAGAAAACATTTTTGTGGACATCTAAAAGTGTTGTGTGCTTGAAGCAATTGTCCTTACTGTACTTAAAGATAAGGAACTGTTTTTAGGCGGGGACAAAATTAATTTCCTTCAGGAGACTTGGCCACAGAGATGGGAGGAGGATTTTCTGTCTTGTGGGTCTCTGTGATCTTTGACAGATCATATTAAAGTTAAAACTGAAGATGGGGCGCCTGGGTGGCTCAGTTGGTTAAGTGTCTGACTTCGGCTCAGGTCACCATCTCGCAGTGTGTGGGTTCGGGCCCTGCGTCGGGCTCTGTGCTGACAGCTCGGAGCCCGGAGCCTGCTTCGAATTCTGTGTCTCCCTCTCTCTCTGCCCCTCCCCTGCTCATACTCTGTCTCTGTCTGTCTCTCAAAAATAAATAAATGTTAAAAACTGAAGAAGCAGGAAGAGTTTTACACAATTTTATCAGCCCTGGCATCATATTACTTTTACAGATAAAGGAATAAATTATAATATCAGTATAAATTTTTGTAGTGTTGATCTCAAAATCTTTGTTTACTATAGGGGTGCCTGGGTGGCTCAGTCTGTTAAGCATCAGAATCTTGATTTCAGCTCATGTCATGATCTCACAGTTGGTAAGATTGAGCCCTGCCTTGGGCTGTGCACTGATAGCAAGGAGCCTGCTTGGGATTCTCCGTCTCCCTCTCTCTCTGAGTCTCTTTCTCTCAAGATAAATAAATGAACTTTTCAAAAGTCTTATTTACTATATATTTCACTTAATTCCACACAAACCAATATGATTCATGTTTATGTTTATTTGTTCTTGTCCTAAGAATCTAGAAAAGTGTGTACCTCTGGTTTTGGGGAGGGAGGGGTCTTTTGGTTGCTGTCACGGAGAATTCTTGGGCAAAAGAGAATGAGTCCCCTGAGGTTGAGAACTGTATCACATTATTCACCTCTGTATCCTACGTAGCTACCACATTTTTGTAACCTGAGCCCTAGGACACTACCAGCTACCCAAGAATTCTCTTTGAAATTATGTGGTCACTAATTCAAATGGAGGTAACCTCAGTTTCTCTTTACAGAAATCAATCACCTAACACATAACGTTGTGCTGAAGTTAGACTTGCTTTTGAGTCTGGGCTAATTCACCAGCCCTCTGCCCTTGGAAAAATTGCTTCCTCTTGCAAAAGTTCTATTTTTTCATCTGTAAAGCTAGGATATTAATAATGCCTACCTCACAGAGTTGTGGGGAGATCATTCATATAAAGGATTTAGCATAGTGCCAAAAATTAGAGTTTAATAAATGTTAGTTATCATTATTACTATCACATGTTTTTGAGCTCCTATTACATGCTTAATGTTTTTAGGTACTATTTAGGGTGTAAAAGCTTTGGTCATCTATCCATTCATTCATTCATCAAATCTATCCAGTACTATTATGTGCCAAGAATCAGTAGAGGGGTACAGCCCCAGATCAACAGGATCCCTGACCTCCTGGAGCTTACATGGGGATGGATAGGGATAGTATACAATAAACAAATATTTTAAAAAAGTGAATTTCCAACAGTGGTAATGACTATGAAGAAAATAAAACAGGAAAGAGGTAGAAAATTATGAGGGAAGGGTTGTTACTGTAGATGCAGTCAGTGCTCATGGAAAACCTGTTGAAGGAAGTGCCATTTCAGGAACCATTAAGGAAAGACCTAGGGAAGTGTATTTCAGGAAGAGCCAACAGTAAGTGTAAAGACCCTGCTGAGGACATTTCTAGAACAGAAAACTTGTGCTTAGAGCACTGTGAATGAGGAACAGACAAGTAGGTGAAGTTAGAGGCGGGCAGGGGCTGCAGCCTGCAAAACCTTGAAGACCATGTTCCAGGGAAGGACTTTATACTCATTGCATGGGGAAGTCACTAGGAAGTTGTAAGAAAGGGAATGATAAAAACTTCAGCAATATCATATTTCAGAAGGAAAAGGAGTTCAGAGCTTATGTGGTCCAATTCTTTATAGATGAGGAAATCGGCATTAGTTCCCAGAATGCTGCTTGCTGTCCCCCCAACTTCCTTGCCTTCGACCCTCTGACAATGGCCTTTCACAAAAAGATCCACACTTACTAAAGTAAGCCACTTCGCTTTACACAGGCTCTGGCTTTCCTCTTGGCCTCTGAGTTTCTTGACATTCTTCTGCGGTGGGATGGGAGGAAGTGTCACACAGTAGCCCAGGGCCCAGTTTTGTGAGTTGGGATTTGGCTTCCAGGACTTACCCTCTCTGTAATCTTGGATGATTTATGTCACCTCCCCAAGCCTCAGTTTACACATCTGAAATGTAAAAAGAGTACCCTGGGCTGTTGAAATGGTAAATGGACTAACTCGTGCGATTTGGTCATGCAAATTAGCATGATGCCTGGTTAGCCATTAGCTGCTGCATTAGGATTCTTGTTCTTGCAGCAGAGACATAGAACTGTGCTATGGGAATCGGCTTTGTAAGAAGACAGACCCGAGTTCAGATTCAGGCTGCAACAGTCACTTCTTATATCACTGCTAGCAAGCTAAGTAATTCCTCTGAGTTTCACTTACTTTTTTATAAATTTGTGGGGGAATTCTAGCTCTGGAGCTTCATGACGAGAACTGATGTCTGGAAGGTACTACTTATGGCTCTGGCACTTTTAAAAAATTGAATAAGTAATATAATTATCATGATAGTACTTCCCTTTGTAAAGTAATAGTTTGGCTTTTCTGTTTCTCTAGCTTACATGAAGAAAAAAATCACATTCAGTTAGTGAACATTTTTGGAGTTCCTACTCATAAAAATAACACCAAAAACTGATTACACTTCAAGCATGGTTCTAAATGTCTCACATAGTCCTACTTTACAGCAAGGGACACTGAGGCATAGATGTAAGTCATTTTGCCCCAGGTATCCACCAGGAAGTGATGGATCCAGGTGTGAAACCAAGAAGTCTTACTGCAGAGTCTGAGCTCTTAGCCATCTGCTACGAGGCCTCACTGAGGACCTGCTAAGCTCCTTTTCCGAGTGTATAAAAGGCTCCTTCCTCGAGGTGTTGTAGTAAAAACGCATTAAGATAATGTCTGCAATACTGCTCTGTAAAGCAAAGTTACATCAACATACTGGTCATTTCTAGGGTTTTCTACCAAACCCCCTCTCACCAATAAAGTCACAGGAAATGGCACTAACTCTACATCTAATAAACAGATACGTTCACTTCCCTAAGGAAATTGCTTCTCAGATTTAAAACGTTAGCTCCTTAATGTGTCTTTGATAAATAGTAGCATTTGAACTTTTCTCTAAGTAATTAAAATTTTTAAGAGTAGTTGGGGATTTCAAACATTGCTACCAAGCTTCCATTTCAACCAGAAATAGAAGGGAAATATTAAGTGGGACAATTACACTAAAAAACACAAATTAAACATTTTAAATATTTTATGTTCTGTGATAACTACCACATGCAGCACCAAGAAATATTCAATTTAATAAGAATAAAAGTCTATCTCATCGCAAAGCATTAGTTCTCAGCTGAGGGCAATTTTGCCCCACAGAGGATACGGACAATGTCTGGAAACATTTGATTGTCATAACAAGGGGGTATGTGCTCCTGACATCCAGGAATCCTGCTAAACATCTCACAATGCACAATACAGCCCCTTATAACAAAGAATTTTTCAATGTAAAATGTTAATAGTACCAAGATCATGAAACTCTGCCTTAAGAGTATCTATACGGTTATGCTTTTGTGGAAGTTCTGAAAAAGGGTTATATGTGTGTTTAGCAACACGTGAGCCCTAGCAGTGCTTTGCCCATAATGTGCCCTCACTGATTTTGTGTTGGTTAGACTATTGCACCTTAAGAGTATTGTTTATTCTCTTAGCTTCAGCATATTTCCAATGATGGCTTTCCTACCAAAATCATGATAGCTTGATTTTGTTCATAGTAGCTTTGTCACATGGTTGAACTTCTCTTTTGCTT